CCTGAGATTTTGCACTGAATTATAAAACAATAAAGCACTGGTTTCAAAAAATTCAAGGAAAGAGTGAAAGTAATTATTACTTTTTAAGTTATTTTTATAAATAACAATACTTTATAGAGTGTGATTATAATCAACGTATCTATTAACAACCATATTATTCTAGGCATGTGTGCTAACTCACAATACACATAACGATGGGACATTTTTCATGCAATCTGCTCCTGGAGATTATAATTATCTGCAGAGCTGCAAAATGATAAACTATGTTTTTCCTATTTAAACCTACTTTATCACCATCCTCATTCCTTTGGAAATACTTCAGGTGTTTCATTCAAGAAAGAGAAGTATCCACAATAGTGGCTTTCATTGACTTGCCAAAACTTTAGCACTCTCAGCAATAAAATGATCTTTTGGGGTGAGAAGCTATACTTAGAAGGCCCTTCCTTCCCCTTAATCAGATTTCAGACTTATGACCAAGAACTTTGGAGCCAGCCAGACGGGGTCAGATCTAGCTAAGTAATGGTGACCTCAGGTAAATTACATACTCTTTCAAGCATCATGACCATCATCCATACAAATGATTGCACAATATAATTCACTCAGATAGTTATTAGCAGAATTAAATACTATAAGCATATATAGCAATTACTAAAAAAAAGTATGCTTTGTGTTTGTATTAATATTTCATTATAATGAATAAAATAAACATACATTATAGACATTAGACACAGATAAGACATTTTATGAAACTCTTTATACTCCCTGATAATGGCAAACTAAGGTAGCAAGGATAAAGAACTACTAACAAGAGATATTTAGGATGGGCCTCTAGAATGAGTAAGCCTGGCTTGCTGAGTAAATTCCTGAGTTGCTTTTAAATGTCCTCATCTTTAATGTCTGAATCTAAAAGGTGCAAAAAAGAAAAACAGAGAAGGGAAAAAGGGTGCTGGACCTTTAAATCCTCTGGCAGTCACTTCAGCTGGTCTGGGAAAGGTTTGTGACAATAGAGAGATATGATGTGCTACAACCAGGGATGCCCACCTCCTCCTCTGCACCTGGGATCAGAACCACCAATTAAAGCACAGATCGCCAGTATTTGTAGAGCATGTTCTTCCTTCACAGCCTCCTCAGCGAAATTCAGGAATAGCTAAATGGCATAATTCTTGGAAAGATTTAGCAACACACTGAAAACACTCAAGTATTAGCTGTTATTATTTACTGAGGAGGTAATATTTGGAGTAATGTAGAGATGGACCTCTCAAACAGAGATAAGAATTTGTGAAAATATAAAAACATCTAGCATGCCTAGAATAGAGACTAGAGAGCAGTGAACAAATTGAGAAAAATGTATGATGAGTATGGCTAGAAATGGAACTTTAAAGGTAGTTCGGATGATGGAGTTGGGTAATGAAGAACAATTTATGAGCCCATGGTTTTCAAACTTCAGTATGTAAAATGGTGCAGGTGCCTTGTTCTCACCCCAGAGCGTCTCATACATTTTTCATTTCAAGACTTTAAAGCAAATATTCCTTTGGGCAAGAGGAAGCCAGCAGAGTTTTTAAAGCAGTGAAGTGTTTAAAATCTATGAACCAAAATGTAATAGTGCTAATACACTTATAAGCAGTAAAAGAAATTCCAAAAACTTACCTCTAATAAAGCACAAATAAAAATTAGTTACATGGCCTGGGAAGGGGTAATAGAAAGACATTGTTTAATAAATGGCACATTTATAAGTAAAATTAATGGTGGTCAACAGTTAAAGCTAGCAGAGTTCAAGTAAAAATTGGCTACACAGAAAAGCTCTAGAGACCAAATTTTCTGCAGTATGTGATCACCTGAAGAAAACTATGTGAACGTCAGCTGACCCATGTCTTCATCTCAGAAACAAGAGAATTAGCTTTACAAGTCTAAAAAAATCAATATAACTCCTTGTTTTTGCAACCAATTTACCAGACATATTTTTACCTCCCCTAGATCAGAGATCCTGAATGTCATAAGAATGTCCACTTCAGAAAAACAAACTGGCTTTGGAGGACACGTGGATGAGAGAACTTTACCTGAAGATGAGGAGTCACCATCATCTCTACCTGTCAAATTTATGTTATGTTAATTAATTTAAAAGACACAGGACACATAGGAACTTTTAATCAGGGTTCCTAGTCATGAGTTAGAGTTATTGACTAGGTCTGTCTAGCAGAGGACCTTCCACCCTCCTTGAAGATGAATCTGCCACCTGCTTCTTTGTCAAGACAGAAGTGGCTACCATTTCAAACTATGAAGAAGCTTGTATGATGAGACTGTGCTTTTCTGAATATGAATCTGTAATGTTCTGACTTAGAAATATATTGAAATCAAACTGTTCACCAGTATCTCAATGATGTTCTTGTATTTATAGAAATAATTTTTACTATTTTATCAGACAGTGGCATTACCATCTCTTGTAAGAAGAGAGTTCAGACACCAGTGTGACAGACGATCGAACAGGCAAGAAAAATGATATTCTGATAAAGAAAAAAAACAAAAATAAAAGAACAAGTCTCAATTTGTAGTGTTTGTGGATTTCCATGGTGTAAATACTGCCATAATGATTGATCACAAGCTGGCAATTGTTTGACAGCCAGCTCACAGAATTTGTTAAGAATTAAGCAATGGGTTCCTACATCACAATCAAATCTGGGTTCAGAACTCCACTGGAGACTAGTGGCAAGTGGCAAAACTAATGCAATGGCATTAGAATGAGAAAAAGCATCTAGATTTGATAAACATCTTAGAGATATAAAATTTGGTATTTGATTGGATATTAAAGAAAAAGATGAATCACAGGGCAATATTACAGTTTTTTAACCTGAAAAATTGGCTGAATGGTGGTGACTATGACTAAAAATGGGGCAGAAAGTTTGGGAGAGGGGGCTCAGTTTCATTGTCAACATCTTAAACTCATTATGCAGTACATATGATGGTCTACGCTTAGGGGAGAGGACCTGGTTAGGAGATGCCTTACATGGAAGGAACATGTAGATATTTAATAATTACTCTGTAAACCTATTTATGTAGGAATTTTAATAAACATCTATAGGAAAACATATTCAATGGAGTATGCATTTTCTCCTACAAGTAAATGTACTCTACCATTTGTGTTCAGATTTTATATTAATGGTATCAACTTTCACTAATGTCCCAAAGTAGACCTTGAAGGTGCCCTCAAGTTTTTCATTTCCATGGTCTTATTCCATCAAAGTGACCAATACTTCCTTTGATTCTTTAGATAAAACAATCATGGATTTACTCTCTCCTCTCCCTGTCAACTGCACTGTTTTAATATCATTCATTTCAGCCATAACCATTAGTTGGGATTGGAGAACCTTCCCCAGCAATCCGTTTTTCAAATTTCTGCCACAACTAACTTCTCTTAAAAGTCCCAATCTCGCCCTGGCTGGTGTGGCTCAGTGGACTGAGTGCTGGCCTGCAAACCAAGAGGTCACCTGTTCGATTCTGGTCAGGGCAAATGCCTGGGTTGCAGGCCAGGTCCCCAGTGGGGGACATGCAAGAGGCAACCACACATTGATGTTTCTCTATACCTCTTTCTCCATCCTTTCCTCTCTCTTTAAAAACAAATAAATAAAATCTTTAGGAAAAAAAGAAAAGTCCTGATGTCCTTGTTAGGAAAGTCATGTTATTTGGAACATAACAAAGAGTCTTGTCATGATGACAAAGCAACTTGAAATGGAAGCATTTGAGAAAAGGTAAACAAACTGGCATTTTTAGCCTGGAGAAGATGGAATTTCAGGGGGTTAGGAAATGGAGAGGGAGAACACATGGTAGCTGTCATCAAGCATTAAAAAAAATGAATGAGTTATCAATCTGTGTGTCCAAAGAACAAATAGGGTGGCAATAGCAGAAAGGATTTTGGTTTTCTACCAAGGACCAATTGATCACAGAGAGTAAAAGGTGGGTTGGAGTGGGTTGGTAGAGGAGGTATTTATAGGCTGGGTAATCACCCAGCAAAGTTATTTTGAATGAAATTCTAGCAGTCAATGAGTACTGGGCTGGAAGACCCATAAAGGCCTATTTTGATGGAGAGCTCTATGATTCTCTGAAACCAATTTTCTCTATGAACTTGTTCTTCCCTGGTGAATATGTTCATGTTTTTCCCAAGCACTCTAAGGGAAGATGGATTTTTGTGACCCAGAAACACTAAGTAAGAGACATTAATATTCTCTTTGGCAATAGATTTATGTTGAATAAAAATGTTTTGATGCTTACAGAGAGAATATGTGCTTTTCAGTTTGGTTTATACAGGGAGCTCATTAGTTCTAAATTTAGACATAAGTTTTAGTGTTGGAGGGATTCCAAGTTTGACTAATACATCTGAAGATGTCCTTGTTAGAAAAAAAAATGAGGGAAAATTCTATTTTTCTACTCTGTGTGTCAGGGTGGGGGTGGGTGGAGAGGGAAAAACACATGTTCTTTTATATCAGCTAATTCCATCTGCCCATGATTATCAAGTAGCTGTGCCAGTCTAATGATGCTAAGTACACAGTAGGTATGCAGCCAACACTTTTAGGTTGATAGCATAGTTCTTACTTGGCAGAAGTGTATCAGTTAGCAAATTCTCAGAGCATCTTGATTCAAGTTAACTGCTGCACTTTTCTCCATGGCAGGGTGTCAACAAAATGAAACTAAACACCTACTAGTTTCAAGAATAAGTTAAAAAAGATCAACAGGACGCTGCATTCACATTTCTGCTCTTAAGGAACTTAGTCTTGACAGAAAGACAAATTTCAGTAAGTAAGAGATATCACTAACACTGCTCAAATAGTCTCTTTTCAGCATAAATTCTCCCAGCAATCTTAAAAATTAACTACATGAATAGTCAAAAATTCTCTAAACTACATTGCTTAAAAGCATTCAATAACTTTAAATAAAATAATTTTGTGTACACTAGAACTTTCCTATATATTCATTCTTCATTACTATCAAGATAAATTATAAAAAATACTATACTTACATTGCAGGGGATATACCATGATCATGAAGGTGGTTTTTCCCAAGGGGTGGCTTATCCACTGTACTCTGGACACGCTGACCCCTGTGATTTCCCCAAATGAGGGAAACTCAACGGCATAATTTGTGGTAATTGGGGACTACATTCATGCTCTCCTCTGAAGAAAAAAAAATACTTTGTTAAAAGTTTTATATTTTAATCAATATAAATAATACTATCAATTAAAATAGCAAAATATTGATTTTTAATTTTTATTTAAAAATCACAAATAATTGTTATGTACAAGGAATCCCCAAGTTCAGTGATGTTTCCATCATAACCAATGAGACAGATTCCCACGTCACTTGTTATCAACAACAAAACAATGACCCCCGTCAGACTTATCTGTGGGAAAAGTGATAAAATGAGGGACCTATGCTTATATGCTTATAAAAACAATTTGAATACCCGCAGTAAAATGACATGCAGTTGACATTCACTTAAAAACTAAATAGTAATTGTTATTACACCAGGATTTCACCTTCAAAACTATTTCACTATCTTCCTTTTCCCCAATTTTCTTTAATAACTTGATAGTAAGAAGAGTTGCCCTCATGTTGAATTCTAACTTACAAAACTACATCGATGAAAATTTTTTCACATCGTACTCACTCATAAATGCACTCGTGATTGTGTTTTGAATTTTGTTTATTAGAGAGAAAGATGGTAGTGATGGTGGAAAGGGGCCACCGTATTAAGCAGGAAAAGACAAGATACCCAGAGATAGGTAAAAGGAAAAAATATTTACGTATAATACTTTTTCCTCAAAAAAAAATCCACTTAGTATTGAACTCAACAACATCATCCATCAACTACTTTATCAAAAAACAGCAGAATTCACATTCCTCTTAAGTTTACATGGAACATTTGCCAAGATAGTCCACATTCTGGGCCATAAACACACTTTAAGAAATTCAGAAGAATAGAAATTACACAATGTCTCCTCTGGACCACAATGCAATTAAACTAGAAATCAATAACAGAAGGATATGTGGAAAATTCCCAACTATGTGTTTAAATAACACACTTCTTTGTAACAAATGGATCAAAGAACTTTCAACAGAAATTTTAAAATAGTTTTTATTAAATGGCCATTAAAATGCAACTTATCAAAATTTTTAAGATGTAGTGAATGCAATGATTAGAGGGACATTTATAGCATTGAATGAATATATTAGAAAAAAAGAAAAATATAAAATCATTAATCTAAGTTTCCACTTAGGAAGCTAGAAACAGAAGAGCAAATTAAATTCAAAGAAAGCAGAAGAAAGAAAATGATAAGAATTAGAGCAGGAATCAGAGAAACTGAAAACAGGAAATCAATAGAGACAATCAATGAAAACAAAAGCTGGTTCTTAGAAAAGACAAAGTGATAAGGCTCTAATCAGGCTAATTAAGAAAAAAAGGTAGAGCACTCAAATTATTAATATCAAAAATGAAAGCGGGACATCACTACAGATCCCATAGCCATGGAAGGATACTAAAGGAATACTTTGAATAACTCTGTGCCCACAAATTTGATAACCTGTATGAAATGGACCAATTCTTTGAAGATGCAATCTAGTAAAACTCACACAAAAACAAATAGATGATCCAAAAAGTCCTATCTATTAAATCTATAATAATATAGATATATGTTGGCGATGTGGAGCAAGGACATGGAGGATGGTAAGGATGCAGAGGACAAAAATTCTCATTCATTGCTGGTGGAAATGCAAAATGCTCCAGTCACATGGAAGACAGTTTGGGGATTTCTTACAAAAACTAAACATGCTTTTACCATACAACCCAGCATTGTGCTCCTGATACTCATCCAGAAGAGCTGAAAACCTACTTTCATACAAAAATCTGCAGAGACATGGTTATAGCAGCTGTATTTGTAATTGCCAAAACCTGGAAGCAACCAAGATGTCATTTAGTAAGTGGATGGATAAACAAATAAGCAATAGGATATTCCTCAATAAAAAGTAATAAGCCCTCAAACAATGAAAAGACATGGAGTAACCTTAAATGCATGTTACTGAATGAAAGTAGCTAATCAATAAAGGCTACATACTATATGATTCCAACTTCAATCCAAACACATAAACAACAGTTTATGTCAGGCCTTGCCCATCAGACTTTTTCTCTGTGTGTGTGTGTGTGTGTGTGTGTGTGTGTTTTGCTCAAACCATGTTTTCCTTAAACTTTTGTAGCTTCTTTAAGATTGATTTTAGAACAGGAACCAGTCTGGTGGGCTGTGCTAATTCACCATTTTGTCCTGGGTGTTATCTTCTTGAACTATGGATTCAATTGTTTTACTCTACTAGCCAAAATATCCAATTATGTTCCTTTCCCACTGAATTCAAAATCCAGTATGAAATTCAGGGGCTTACCTACTACTACTCTCTCTTATTTACCTTATATCTAGTCACCTACATTTTCTTACACCCCCAAAATGCCACAGTCTATCATACCTTCATTACTGTTAGTGTTATCCATTCTTTGCAATATTCCCTTCTCTCTCTTTATCTGGCAAAACATATTCAATTCTTAAGACCAAAGTCAATTTTTTTCTTTCTATGAAATATCATCACTAAGAGCAGGATTACTTAATAACTCTCTGGATTATTTTTCTAAGTATTGTTTAACTGAACTATGAATTTAGTTCTATTCATGCATAAGAACCAAGCAGGTTCAGCTTCCTAATTCACAAGCAGTATTCTGTAATGTGGCCCTTGTTTGAACCATGATCAACTTATCAACATGTTTCTTAAAATTAATAGACATACCGAAACTAGGCAAATGTTGGATGACTAATGGTAACTTATTTAAATAAGACTTTCTAAAAAGTTGAAATATGCCCCTTACTACTAAGTTCCCTCAGTAACTCCTATATGTTAGCTATAATTCCAAATAAATCCACTTTTCTAAAATCTCTGCTAATGTTAGATTTAGCCACTATCACTTCTTACCTGTGCTGCATACAATAGCTGCCAAAAGGATGCACCTGCTAAGATTCTGATTCTTTACGATTCATTTTTTACACAGCAAGAGGTGTGAACTTTCTGAAATAAAAATGCAACCATTTCATTTCCTTCCTTTATATTTTTCCATGGTCTCCAATGCATGAGAACAGAATTTTCAAGGACCCTAAATGACTTGAATCTAAACACACTGGTTGGCTACAATCTAGATATACTGGTATATTATCAGTTTCTCAAAAGTCATAGCAATTTTCTGCTTTGGGGCCATTTGCACTTTCTGTCCCTTCTATCCGGAATGTTCTGTCTCTAGCTATTGCCATCCCTGGCTACCCATCATGGGTCAAATTTCTTTTTTTAGTCTTTATTGTGGTTTTTTCCATTACCATTTAGCCCCCTTATACCCCTCCCTTTGTCTCCCAAGCAATCACCACACTGTTGTCCATGTCCATGTGTCCTTTTCCCTTTTTGTTCATTCTCTCTACCCCTTAACCTCCCTCCCCCATTAGCTGTCATCTGCTCCTCATCTGCGAGTCTGTCTCCATTTTTCTTGTTAGTTCAGTTTGTTCATTAGATTCCACATATGAGTGAAATCATATGGTATTTGTCTTTCCCTGATTGGCTTATTTCACTTAGTATAATGTTCTCCAGGTCCATCCATACTATCGCAAAGGGTAAAATGTTCCTCTTTTTTATGGCCAACTAGTATTCTATTGTGTAAGTGTCCCATAATTGTTTGATCCACTCATCTATTGATGGAAATTTGGTCTGCTTCCATATCTTGGTGATTGTAAATAATGCTTCAGTGAACCTATGGTGCTTATGTTCTTTTGCATTAGTATTTTGGGTTCCTTCAGATATATTCCCAGAAGTGGGGTCACTGGATCAAAAGGCAGATCCATTTTTAATTTTTTGAATTATCTCCATAATGCTTTCCACAGTAGCTACATTCCCACCAACAATGCAAAAGGGTTCCCCTTTCTCCACATCCTCATCAATACTTACTGTTTGTTGATTTATTGATGATAGCCATTCTGACAGGTGTGAGATGATATCTCATTGTGGTTTTAATTTGCATTTCTCTGAGGATTAGTGAAGTTGAACATCTTTTCATCAATTCAATTCTTAGCTTTTCTGAGAGGCTACTCTAAAAACTCTACTGTATCTGGTTTGTCTTTCAAGACACTTGTAATAATTTCACAGTCCGCTAAGTCCCTTCATTGTCCTACATCAATGTCACATAGTGGTCACCCTGCTCACTTGCTTGTTTATGTGTTTAAGTTTGTTTTTGCAACCTAAAGTAGATTATCCATAAGAGCAGAGGAGAACTTGTCTGATCCTTCATCATTCTAAACCCAGTAACAACTATAGTAAATAGCACATATGTAGTCCTAAAGTCTTAGGAAAATGTTTTCAGTTAAATAAATATGTGATACTTAGTTCAGAAATTTTCTAGCTTTCCACTATGATTTAAATATAGTTAATGATGACCAGGCTTTTTCTTTTATGGTATCTATTTTGTTCTCTGTACAGCAAAACAAAAAAAAAGAACAGTATTTGGGGTAGCTATGCAGCAAAATAACGAAGAGCTAATGATGACTATCTTATGGAATCATTTACTTCTGAGTGCTTGATACATTATAAACAGATAAATGTTACTTTTTCAATTTAATATAGAATTCTTGACCAATAAACACTTCAAATTATATTTTTTCAGAAGAACAACCATGGTTTTTAGAAAATTTTCTGTAATTTCCTGTGAAGTTCTGTTCTTTTAATTACCAACTTCCTTGTTTAGTATTGTTTGTCACATTCTTGAACCCTTCATTTGTTATTAAATGAAGCAGTTCTATTGGTGTATGTTGAATTCAAAACAGAAATGTGTCTTCCTTGGATTATGTAAGACCAAAAACTGTAGGTGCACTACTAGCTTTTGTACATCTGTTGAAATGATCTAGGAACCCATGGCTGACATTTTGTTATTTCTTTGAAAATTTTATTCCTTTTTAGACAAGGACTGAGAAGCCAGAAAAATGATTACATTAGAAATAAGTCCTGATTATGTATGACTATTAAAGCACAACAAAGCCTTGTGGTTTTAATGGATAAGATAGTTCTAGTACTTTCCTTCAAGAATGCAATAGAATGTTTAACATTT